GGACGCGTGGTTCTGGACCAATTTGTAGTGCGGAAGTGGAAGGTTAAATTGGGCCGTTAACATTTGGTTTGAGCTTTAGTGGGCTTGATATTATATTGTTCTGTTTTGCTTGTTTGTTTGTAACTTCAAAGGATAATGATTACGCTAATTTGGTTTATTCAATTTTTAATAGAATAATACTATTTACAGTGAAAATTATCGACAGTCGTCTTATATGACGTACACTTGACAATTTTTCATTTGATATATAATTCAAAAAGTAACTACCATATCTATATATCAAATAACAAATTATCAGGTGTATGTCACATAGAACGACTACTGGTAATCTTTACTATGAATAGCATTACTCCTTTTAATAGGGGCCTTGTTGGCATTGAGGGAGGTAAATATAACGACATTTTTTTTTTAAAGAAAATTATTTTTTTAAAAAGTACTTTTCTCTATTAAATATAATTACTATGACATGTATTCCACGAATCCAATTTCTACTATTTTTTTTTTTTTTTGGGTCAAATATAACTGCGAAACGTCACAATATTGTGCTTTTATAAGATAGAATGAATTGAATTGTAGTGTAGTGTAGTGTAGTGTATTAAAAAAATATATCAAGTTATATACATTACTTTTAGCTAGATTGATGGAGAATGTGTGATTAAAAATTAAAAAAAAAATTTGAATTTATATGTAATATTATTTTATTGAAAAATATGTGATTAAAAATGAGTTTTGAAAAAAATGAATTTTAAAAGAATGTGGCTCAAACAATGGCTTTGTTACAATCAAACACGTGAGAATGTTCTTGAAAAAATTGTACGGAAATTGTAAAAAAGTAAAAAATTTGGCGAAAATGTGTTATAAATTATAGATATTCACGTGTCAATATGCTATTGATAATCATTTCGTCATGTAATAACCGAAAGAGATCCACTAAAACTCTAAAAGCAGAGAACAAAAACCTTGGAAAGCAGCATGAATTATCTTGTCTTATAAAAATATAGTAAAATAACACAAGTCAACATCATGCTACTTCGAGTTTTCAACTTTTGTATCAATCTTTTTCTCGTCTGTGGCACTTCGACATATACTTAGTGCGCATTGCACTAAGCTTAAAAAATTAATAATCATTAGTAAAGAACTTTCCATTGTTGCTAGATCTAGAGTTAGTCGTAAAATAATAATACGATTATATTATATTATATATATATAATGTGATAAGAAACTTTCACACACTCTTTTTAATGTCTCGTCTGTACTCAAACAATTGTATAACTTCCTATGTACAAGTAGTATTATTCTAACAGAAATGATACTTGTACAAATAGTTTTACAAGTGCAAAGATGGTAGGATCTGATTGACTGTTTAATTTGTGTTTTGTACAAAATTCAATGAAATATTATCATGTGACATGTTGTAAATCTATCTGTGCAATTTGCCCATACATGTAGCATTATTCTTATTTTAATTATTGATAGGTAATAGTAAATGAATAATGTTACTTGTACATAGATATTTACATAATAGTTTACGCACATAATAGTGAGGAATTTTTTTTATTATTGGGTTAGATCCATCAATGATCAACCAACTTTATATTTAGTGTCACCATGATCATCCAATTTAATTTTGTTTTGCTACGGCCATCCAACTTTATGCTTAGTTTCACATAGTCACCAAACTTGATTTTATTTCACCATGACTATTCAATTTCTTTTCGTCATTTTCATTAATTTTAAAAATGTAAAAATGGTGACTTTGCATTATATATATAAAATAAATCTAAAAAAGCTAAAATAAAATAAAAACTTATTTAAAAAATAAAGTAAAAACTTATTTGAAAAAAGAAACATTACTTAAAAACTTATTTTAAAAAAATAAAATAAAAACTTATTGTTTTTTTTCAAATAAAAACTTATTTTTTTTTATAGATAATGCAAAGTCACCATTTTTACATTTTTAAAATTAGTGAAAATGATAAAGAGAAGTTGGGTGACCATGGTTAAATGTTATATGAAATTGGGTAGCGAAACTAAGTATAAAGTTGGATAGCTACAGTGAAACATAATCAAATTGGGTGGTTATAATTACACTAAGTATAAAGTTGGGTGATCATTGATGGATTTAATCGTTTTTTTTATTTAGTTAAAGAAATTTAAATTCAATAATATCTCACCACATCATGTATATACAAATCATTATTTAAACCACTATGTACATGTAGCACAATTGAAAGTAAATAAGTTAGCGTCAAAATTTTAAAATAATTTTGACCTTATAGGTGTGGCCAAATGTCCTCCATAACATATTCCAATATTCTTCTTTAAGACAACTCCAAGAACAGCATCAATGACAATGTTAAACTCAAAAACAGTATCATGTATGTATTTTCCACCATCCTTAAGCCTCAAGGTCATATTGACAGCACTAGCTACATAACATATGGAGGAATGGAGGCATTATGCTGCTAAAATTACAAATTAAATTGAAAAAAATAAAAATAAAAATCCTATTGTTATAATCTTGATCATTGATCAGCATCTAGGTCACTTTCCTATGAAATGTACGACTCGATGAAAAGTTGACAAGTCGCACGGTAATGCGATGCCTTTCTGACTATGATATCCATAAACTTCTGCAGCCTCTTGAAGCAGTGTTTGGAACTTAGGATTCTTCAAATACGATGTGGGAATCACAAATCTTTGTAATTCTTCACCTACGTAGACCACAAAGTACCCTTTTGGGGTTCTTTTATCTCCATCTTCCCTTGCCTGCATTGTGCAATTGCCCATAATTTCTTATAACTTCAAAGTAAGACTGTATTTACTTGACGAAAAGAGTTTGAGCCATACACATATTTATACAAATTCAAGAAAGTTTAGCACATAAAACTCCTACAGTGAATTGCAGTAGCCAGCTGAAAATGTTGACAACGTGGTATTTATCAAAAGATATAGGGATGTGTTTGTCTGGTGGAGGGTAGGGAACTTGAAATGACTAAACCCTGAAAAGACATTTCGATGAAATTAATGAGGGTGGTGGCGATGTTTTCTTATCCTAAACAGGGAACTTTTGGTTGCAGATTAGGATACAGACTCCTCACTGGTTTCCTAAAGCAAACAAACCACGTGCTATCAAGAATTATCAGCCATGGGTTTAAGATTAGGATGTTTTTCTTTTGACAGAACTTTCTTTGAGATGTGTTGTCCTAATTTTTAAAATATGGCATTTGAAACTCGTGTTGTAATTGAAGTACGCGGAAACTTATAATGCTTGTGTCGATAAAATTGGCAAGGGCGGACGAGATCACAGTTGATTGGACAACTGAGTATACCAACTAGTGTCATTTGATTACTATGAGAGTGTTTTTACAGCATATTCGAAGAGAGGAATTCACTTTTGCAGCATAAACAACAGAAAATTTTGCAATTTCTCAATATTTTAATGTGGTTCGAATCACGGAATTAAATCTATGTCCACGTTGAGGTCTGATAATAAGTTCGGGGGAAAATTGCAGCGCCAGTCCTAAACTTTTCATTTCGCTGTAGATTACAGCCAAACCTTTAATTTTTGCGGCCGAAGTCCCAAACTTTTATATGTATTTGCAGCGTTGGTCCATTTCATGCATTCCGTCCAAATTGCCGTCAATCAATAGGAAAATTTGCATTTTGACTCCTATGGAACATTACTTCATGGGTAAAATTGTCAAAAGCAAATCTTCCAGTTATAGCCGCAAGTACTATTTTTCAGTATTAGTACTATTTCACTTCACTTTCATCAATCTGTGCCTTTCCCCTTGGACTTCTTCTTTCCAACAAGTTTGACTGGAAGATTTGCTTTTTGACAATTTTACACATGAAGTAATATTCTATTGGAGTCAAAATGCAGATTTCCTGTTGACTGACGACAATTTGGACGGAATGCGTGAAATGGACCAACATTGCAATTACATATAAAGGTTCGGGACTCCGACCACAAAAATTAAATGTTTGGGTGTAATCTGCAGCGAAATGAAAGGTTTGGACCGGAGCTGCAATTTTCCCTGAGTTCGGTATGCACTATATAAAGAAACTAAATTTCCAAGTAGTGAATAATAGTTTTAAACTAGAGTTTCTTAGGCCTCGTTTGATACCTATTTTTGTAAAAATAAGAATAAAAAATATTGCCATCCCAAGACTTCACACAAGAGATAGAAAGTCAAAAATGATGACTTAATGTAATAAATAACGTTCATATTTTTCATTTTTGTGACCAAAGAATGGGAATCAGACGGGAGCTTAATAGATTAAACTTTTACATAAATTCTTGTGTTCGGAAATTTAAAAAACTCTAGTTGACAGGGTTTCCATAACGCAATACGAGTATGGAAACAATTTTAAAGTGACAAAACAGGAACAATAAAAAATGGGTATCAATCAAGCATACACACCTAATCAGTGTGTTAGTGCCCAACAATCATATCATAAATAGAACTTGAAATTTTAAATTAAAACCAATCATGCACCCTCCCTTCAAGAGTGTAAAGACTACTCATGTGATCAAAAGCAAATGGATAGCATGGGAGGTACTTCGAAAGAAAATATTATTCAATCATGTTCAATACTGACTATCAACCATGCACTTAATGCATATTATAAATATATCCAGCATGCACTAGAAACTTTAAGTAGAAAGATTTTTGTAACGATCCAACCTCTGTGCTTAAACTGTTAACTTACGTATTGTCTGTTATGAGAGAGTCTGGACCCATCTTATCCCCCATGATTACAGTTCAACTTATGTCTCTCTTAAATGGAAGTCATGTGTTTGAATACTAAAGACGTGACAGAAATCCATAAGGAGATAAAATGGGCTCAAATTCTTCTGTAACGGACCTTATGTAAATTAACGGTTTGAACAGAGAGACTGAGTCATAACAATTTTTGAATCAACATATCTAAGAAAAAGGAAAAACTCAAAAGCAATGTACTCCTATCACATCCAATACTGAAAACGACTAATATGAGACAAACATCCAAGTTACCTTGACATAGTACAGCAAAAGAACATCCTGTACATCCACACAGTGAAAATCCCACAAGAGGAGATAAAAAATTATCCAGATGGTACATTGACGGCAAAAATTATATTTCAATCAACTAGAAGCACAGTTGCCTATCCTTTACACTATAGAGGGAGGTCAACCCCAATTAAGCAAATATTCTTCAGCAAAATTGACAAAAGATCCATTCAGCGGCACTTGTGAACAGATGACAAACCAGCTTCGACATATGGTGCTAGGTTGAAATGATGGAGTCAGTAGAGAAGAAGAACATAATTTCTTACCAGAAGGAAGACTGGGTGTCACTTCTTTAAAAGCTTGTGAGAGAAAATCCTCTTGGAATAGGGGCTGTGGCCTGAAATTGCCCTGTGAGACTCAATTGCATCAACCAAAGAATTATGAAGGGGACCCTGATTGCAGAAGAAATAAAGCAAGATTCCCGTCAGGAGATCAAAATTTAGCAATGATTTCTTGAGTTGAAGTATAACATGCTCTACTTTCAAATCGCAAGCGTGTTACAAGTGACTAAAACAAGTTCTTAATTTAAGAAGTTTTTGGTGAAAATATTATATGGTCATAGAAGCAAAAACATTATCTTAGCCTATCCATATAATGGCAGTTTTAGTGGTTATGTGCAACCTTTAGTGTGCTTCACAACAAAGGATTCTAGATAAGACTGAAAATTGCAATATGATGCAGTTATGAAGAGAATTTTTGCTATAGACCATGGATAGAATACCTCAGAAACCTGAAGAGCTGTTTGAACAACATAATTTGCATGTGGATCATGAAGCAACTGCTCAAAATAAGTTGCAGAGAGCAATTCATGGATGATCTTTGACCGGGCTTCATCATTACATACCACAAGACATTTCTCAACAACATGGCTACTAAACTTTTGGGTAGAGAGATGTACATAGTTACCCTCAAACTGAGATGTCAACTTGGATGTGACAGATGGGATCTTGAGCTCCAAAATAAATTGAACAACATAATTTCTGCAGTAAATATTAAATTGTGCTTAAGATAAAAATATATTGAAAGAGTGACAAAATCAACTTGTATATCAGTAGAGAAAGAAATGCATAACTCGTAGAAAATCTAGAAGCAGTTCTTGCCATTAATGAGAATTTGATGAAAATAAAAATAAAAATAAAATAAAATAAAATAATTGAACAATTATGTAGAGACAAGCAAAAAAATACCATCAAGCAAGTGAAATATAAGATGTCATTCATTCCTAATTGATGATTTTTAAAAAAATTAGCTATTACGATCAAAAGAAAATAGACTCCGGAGTGAAAACTTGGCCTTAGTTTCACTTCAAGCTTGATCCACAGAACATGATATACATTAGCCATTGCTAAAGCCTAAAAGCACACCTGAACTTATGAAGGTTTATAGTTAGCAAATCTTCTCAATGATGATTGACTATTTCACCGAAAATAAGGATCTGGAAAAGAAAAAAAATTTGAAAACCACCTTGTCTCAAAATTGGCAAGGATGTATTGATGCAGGATGAAAATGAATTCCTGCAAAGTAGTTAGAACAGGCAGAATATAGCATTACCAGAAGAAGAAGAAGAAGGCGGAAGCAGTAAGAAAGGGGGAGGAACCGGAGAGAAACAAGGGGGAACGAGGGGAGACCACGGAACAGAAAGGGAGAAGCAAGGGGGGAAACGGCCGGCTGCAAGCCAAAACCAACTTTCAATTCTAATCCATCATCAACTGAAAGTTACAATGCAAAATAGGTTTAAATAGTAAAGCAACTCTAACGAGCTTTGGCCCGAGCCCATACAAGTCCAAATTTAAATAATAGTCCAAGAAAATAAATAAAACTTAAATAAAATAAGTAAACATCGTTCGATGTCCTCATCAACTCTCCCGGGATGGGAGAAAAACTCGACCCTGTCGAGTTGATAGATAGTATAGGCTGCCATTAATCTGATACTCCAAATGCTTCAAGTCAAGCCACGGGGGACGATCTTTCTGACGAACCAAGTAACGAAATTCCATAATTAATAGTACTGAAAACTGTAGCTTATTCCCAAGAATATGATCTGACCAAGGGGGCCGATCTTTCCTTCTAACCAAGTACTGATACTGGACTTCAAATAACCAATACTCATGCACCTCATCTTCAACATTTTCACATGATTGTACATAATGAGGAGCATAAGAAGTACGTCGATCTACCCAACAAACAAGGAAGTACTGAATTTTGCCATCATTGGTCAATACAACACGTTCATCTAAAATAACATCAATTTTATCTCTGTGTGCTGTGATAGATGGTATTAAAGTAGAAATATCAATATAGTCAAATTGGGGGTCCACAAAGTTAGGTAGAAATGGATCATCAAAGGAAGTAATACGGTATTTGTAAGTAATGAAGTCCTCAATATTTAAAGCAGAGTGGTGGCTAAAATGTGATGAAAGGGCAATGACATGTGCATTTGAACCAACATGCTTTAAAATTTTTAAAGGACCAGCACTACAAGCTTGCAATATGACATAATCCCCAATATTAAATTCAAAATATTGTTTATGCGAATCAACTTGAAGTTTATATAATGCATTACTTGCGTCATGTTGTTTATTGATCTCAATATGCAAGT